GAGCCTGAAGGCCCAGCTCGCGTATAAGCAGACTCAGTGTAAGGAGGAGCCCCCGTATAAGCAGCCTCGGCGTAAGGGGCCCCTGCCGCTTCTTGTACTGGAGGGGCCATCTCGGGCTCCCTGGGCGGATCCATTGGCGGGTAGCCCGGTACCTCGGGCTCCGCATCTCGGGGCAGTTCGACACAAGTCCGTTTGGAAACTCGCTTCCTCCTCTTCATGACATGAAACAGGTTCCCACCGCGATTCTTTTCTGCGTCCATCACACCTGCAAAAAGAGCTCGACATCAAGAAAACAAAAGAACAGAAAGAAAAACAAAAGGCAAGCCTCTGAGCAAGGAACCTACCCGAACTCAGGCCGGCCTGGATGAGCTTGGCCTCCATTAGATAATGATGGCATTTTAGCCCAAGCCGTGCCCATTCCCGGAGGCCCTTCACCGTCTCCCTATCAAGCGTAACACCGGCATCGGGGGCAGCCATCCCCCACCCGGTTTGGAACGGCCACCCCATTGCACTTCGCACCCCGAAGTAGTCCCGTTTCCATGCCAGGACCTTGTTGGGAAGATCGTGTAAAAGCTTGAAACTCGGGCGAGGAGACAGGTAGTATGCCTACCTACGCCCGGGAATGGGACCCACTTGCTTCTTAAGCATTAGAATGGAAGAAAAGATCTCCAGGTCTAAAGGCAAATTCTGTTCGCAAAAGAGGGAGATAGTCCCCACCAAATTACGGATAGAATTCGGGTGGAGCTGGCCGACGGTAACGCCGAAGTGGTTCATAACCTCGACAATGAGGGGGTGGAAAGGTAGGCACAACCCAGCGACGAGCTGCTCCCGGAATATCACGATCTCGTTGGGACCGTGTTCCCAAGGGAAGTCGCCCGAGGGTATAAAGTAAGTGTACTCCCTAGGCAGGTTGAACTGGGTGATAAGGGAGTAAAGCCCCTCAGGTGTCATGGTTGAGGGCCCAAACTTGTCTAACATCTGACCTCGACGAGAGGACGCCAAACTACCCGAGGCGACTCGGCCTGCGGGTCCGAACTCTTCCTCGAGCTCCTCCTCGAGCTCTACCTCGGGTTCACTAAGGCTGTCGAGGGATGTAGCTCGGTTCGTAGAACCTGCATCTGACCCCCTCGAATAACTGTCTAAACTGTCCGAGCTAGACATCAGGAGGAAAAGAATACCAGGAAGAAAGTACTGACTCACCCGGGAAAAGCAAACGGACTACGGAAGGTTGACGCGAGCTAAAAACTTGGACGCGAGCTCAAGAAGCAAATGCAGGAGAATGGCAATGAAAAGCGACTGGGGTCTCCCACTATTTATACCCACGATGACCGAAAACCGACGGTTTTAATCAAGGCAAATCCAACGACCCACGATCAAGCTGACCGCACGCCTCCTAAGACCGAGACGTGACTAGCCGCACGTCTTTTGAAACTGAAGCAACACCGACACACGTCTCCCCGCATTAAAGGCGGCAGCGACGCATTTTTCAAATTTGAAATAACGCCCACTGTCACGTCTCCCAGCGGCGCGTTTTTTAAATTTTGAAATAAACGCGCGCTATCACATCTCCCAGCATTTAAAGACAGATTGGCGCGTTTCCTGACTTTTTGGCACTTGGAAATCTCCTGACAAACGCGCACTTCGTGCTATCAGTCAAACCAGTTCAAAGTACCGGTCAAATCCACCTGCCACCTCACGAACTCCCCGCGCCAAGGCAAGCACCTTAACGCAAGGAGTGGGGGGAATTGATGAAGGAAGATTTGTCTCGATCTCTTGACGACTCAATACATGGCAGAGGCGACAGCTCGGCATGGCAGTATGCTCAAGTTGCGAGCTCTGAGAGGAGGAACCAGCGGTCCGAGCTCCCCAAAAGGGGTCCGAACTCTCCCTTTGACCCCGAGCCTTACGAGGAGCGCACAGGGCAGCAACCCGAACTGGCCCTCCCCAGGGCAGTTCGGGCCACACCTCTATCCGAACTCAAGACTTTACCTCGCACACCACTCCAACACTTCGTTTCCAGGATGCCGAATTGAACAACCGTACTTGACCTGACACCAAAGGAGTCCGTATCCTGAGGTGGCACACCTGACTGACTTAGGATCTGACACTTGACAACCGCACTTCAACGACCACCTGCCACCGCCACCTCTAGTCACAGAGATGGCTCCGACAAAGAGAGCAGTGGCGGTTGTCTGCCACAGCAGAGGTGATGACACCCGAACTGGCAGAAGTGCAGAGGTAATGATACCTGACCTAACAGGAGCTTGGGAGTGAGTGCGCGAAGTGGTTATAAAAGGCTCTCTTCCCCCCCC